GTAGGGAAAATGAGCATGTATTTAATTCATCATGCAGAATACATTAATAATCATGCTGTCATAAGGCACACTACCTTCTACTTCCTTCATTACTTTGGAAATCTAGTACAAACAAACAGAGCTCAGGGTATTTGCTTTTATGCAGTCCTCCAATTCAGATTTTAGTTAACTTACCTGGTATGATTTCTTGGCTCACTTGTCCCTTAAGCTTGGTGATTAGCCAGTCCACTTCTTCTAGGACCTTCTCAGCCTGACTCAGAAGAAGTAACTGTGAAAGAAAAGAATGCCTGGCATGGCTCATTGCACACAGCTGCTGGTGTAATATGATAATCATGGCCACCTGCGGGTGGGTTACAGGCCTCAGGAAGCGAGCCACTATAATTCACTCTTCACAGGGAATAAAATGGAAGGTAAGACAGGGCTATTTCCAAAGGGTCGGGGATCGACACTTACACAGACAGTAGGGGCAGCTGTTCTCAAATTCACCACTGCAAGTGGTTTGGTTTTCTCCACTTCTACATCCTGGGGGGGGAGGGAAAGAGAGGTAAGATATAATGACAGTAAGGCTGTTCCCCTGGCCTCTATCCCCAACTCAGAGTGTTGTATTAAAGGCTCACTATGGTACCTGGTCTATGTCTCCAAGATGTCCATGGATATCCTGGGACAAGTCACGCAGCAGGGTCACAGGACTCTTACACAAAACATGGAGGCTGAAGAGCAAATTCATCAAGCCCTTGCAAAATGAGGCATCCTCTAGGAGTAGGAAGGAAAGAAAAGCTAAGTCATAATCCAAGTCAGTCCTTTGGGGGGTGTGGGGTGCCTAACTGGAACATGTAGCTCGTCATGTTTCAGGCACAAAATCCCTGTGCTGCACACACTCCTATCAAGGCAGCTCTCCCACAAAGGTGCACTTCTATCCACGAGTCCAAACAAGGGAGATGTTTCCCATTATTAGTCACTATCACTGCATAACTAGCACATAGGTCAAAAAATAGAACACTACCAGCACCCCAGAACTGCCCCCTCCCCCCACCAAGGAAACTGTTATTCTGCCTTGTAACTGTAATCCAGTTTTGTCTGATTTTGAACTTTATCTAAATGGAATCATACAGTAAGTACTTTTTTCTGTCTGTTGTCTTTTGTTGAATGTTATGTGTGTGAGATTCCTCCATGTTGTGTGTCAGTGGAGTTTGTTTATTCTCATTACAGTATTCCCCTGTGTGTATACAGCACAATCCCTTGATCCATTCTACTGCTGATGAATGTTTGGGTTCGATTTTGCCTATCAGAATAGTGCTGCTGTGAGAATTCTTCCACCTATTTTTGCTGGGAGTGGAACTGCTGGATCATAAGCATATGTTTAATTTTAGTAGTTAGATATTGCTAAACAGTTTTCCAGAGTGGTTATACCAACTTACAGCTCCAGCAGCAGCGAATGAGAGGTTCAACTGCTCTATATTCTTACCAACACTTGGTACTGGTATTGTGTGTTGGTTTTTTCATTTTGGCCACTCTGGTGAATTTTCTAAATGTTGTTTGGTGGTGGTGATTTTATATAAAGCCTAAAAGGAAACATGTCAGGAAACTTACCCCAGCTGTTTTCCTTGCAAATCTTAGTTGTCCAGGATAACATCTGCACAAACTAGAGATCATTCAGATATTACAGAAACATGCCAAAAGACAGACCTAGGTGTTGCCAGACTAAAAGAGCCCTAGACCTTTCCAGGTCTAAGCAAATCACCTGCTAAAAACATGTGCCTGGATCTAAAGGGGTAGTAATCTACTAAAAATAGCATAAAAATAAGTCCAAAGTTATGAGAAGACTTATTGATACTTTTCTCAAATATAGCATATGACTCAATTCTCAATGCCCTCATTAAGGGCCAAAGGTCCTGGGGTCTGGGCTCTTACCCTTTGAGCTTCCTCTGCCCCTACCACCACGGTCTAGGGCTAAAGTACCCCTTTTCCTCTTCCCATGCCCCACACTCTCTGCATTTGAGACATTTTTAAGGATAGTAAGCTAACAGAGGTGCAGGAGAGTAAGACCCTGGCAATAGTGATAGCTGAATTAGCTATTAGGAGCCAAGAGGCCACAGGAGTTTAAAAGGGAGGAGGGATTAAAAAAAAAGAAGAAGAAGAAGAAGAAAGAAAAAGAAAAGAGGCAAAAAAACAGAGTTCGGGGAAGCTTAGAGTCTTGGGATAGTAGGTCCTATGTTGCCAGATACACACTCAGTTTTCTGCTTCAGCAGTTGTTTGGGATAGGCTTTCAGCCATAAAGGCACTGAAATGCAGTGATACTTAAGAGTAAAACAATGATTAAGAATCTAGTTTGTGGGGCTTCCCTGGTGGCGCAGTGGTTGAGAGTCTGCCTGCCGATGCAGGGGACGTGGGTTTGTGCCCCGGTCCGGGAAGATCCCACATGCCGTGGAGCGGCTGGACCCGTGAGCTGTGGCCACTAAGCCTGTGAGCTGTGGCCACTGAGCCTGTGCTCTGCAACGGGAGAGGCCACAACAGTGAGAGGCTCGC